ATCTATTTACACATATTAGAACATGTAAAATTCAACTAAACTTTTCAAGTCCAATTCAGAGTCCAAGTCTTTTAAGCTCAAATCCAAGTCAAGTTACAAGCCATTTAAATCATTACATCCAGGATTTGAGTGCTTCATTGCTGCTCTGTGCACAGGAGTATGCTGAGGACTGGGTCGAGTGCCTATTGACTCACTGAGTCAGCAAGCTGATTGACCCCAAATGTTTATGTGCATTCTCCTGAGTAACAGCACCATGATCAAGTGTAACTGTCAGGCGGTTATTTTAAGAGACCCAGTCATAAATAAACATTTCTGTTTAATATTCATGAGCTATTTACACAGCATGTCCTGAAAACTGTGAGGTCACCTCAGTGTTGACACTGATTTCATTTCAAGATGTGATGTGATCTCTGTGTTCACATTTTAATTAAAACACTGTTAGAGTGTTCCTGAGCAGTGCAACAGGAAAGCAGTCACCTTATTATCCGGAGATTGTAGTTTGAATCGTGATGATGCTACATGCCCATGGCTGGGAGTCTAAGAGAGCAAAATTGGCTGTGCTCTCTAGGTGGGACGGAGGTCTCTCACTTGTCAATCACAGTGACACTAGCCAATCGTACTTACAAGCAGAAGAGGACAGACAGCGCTTTCCTCTGAGTGTGCTATGCCATCCATGACGTAGTATGAGCAGCAGTTTGAAAAGTTTCAGTTGGCTTCATGTGTCTCAAAGGAAGCATGTGATAGTTTTCGCCCTCTCTGGTTGATAGCTATTGTATTATATTGTATTGTAAGACCAAATTTAGGAGAAAATTAAGGAGAAAATTAATCCACTGAGAACATTATCTGCATATTCCAGTTTTGTTGTATCTCTATTCCAAGGACTTTTAATTTTGTGTGTATATTAGACATAAAAAAGAGATAATGGATCTCAGGACTGAGAGGAATGGCAGCTTTTACTCAGTTAAAAAGTCAACCACAGCATCTTTGTATTAATATTTTAAATGGCCTTCAAATTTTGATTACCCCCCACTAATGTCTCTGCATTAATGATTCATCAACAGTGAGACTACACAGTGCAGTCTTCCTGCGTGCACACACACACACACACACACACACATTGTAGACACACGATGATTAATTCTCACATCTGTTTATTTATGTGTACTTCTTGATTACTGGTGCTTCAGACGCAGTGCTGTGTGAACTGTCAGGTTTAGTATTAAGTATGTTCATATAAGTTAAACATTTGTAGCAGGCACACTAACCTTTCTTTAACTCCTACTCAGCACATGGACCTTAAATAGGTTGCACCGGAGCTGATCTGTCATTAAGGCAGCACATATTCAGACAGTGTGCACTCTTCAAAGTATACTTTTGGCTTTGACACTTATCTATGGTGTCATTCTTGTGGTGTGGGCCTTGTGATATTAATGTATTGAAAATATTTCATATCTGACTCATCCTCCATCACTGGTACAAGCTAGCACATCTAACAGGCCCATGATTGCACATTGTGGCAGGTGGGGGCGTGATTTAGCGAGCATCTGCAGTGGGAGGTTTGGGAAATGGGACAATTACGGTAGCACAACTGTTGCTTATTTGTAGCTGCATATTAACTGGCTGTTTTTCCTCTTTCTCTCGGACAGTGAGCTGAGCATGGGCGTGTGTGTATATGTGTTGAAGCATCAGTGAAATGACAGCATTTAGCACACCTGGAAGCATTTCTTTTTCTACAGCTTTTTTCTTTCTTGAGTAACATCCTGTGACACAACCCCAATAAAAAAAAAAAAGCTCACATGCAATTTAACCCTGAGTTCCAGAGCAGAGTCCATGGTCATTGTTACACAGAACTAAAACTCTAAAAGGAGGAAACTGGGCTTGTCCTATAATCTTAAAAAGAGCTGTCTACTCATTCCAGGAGTTTCAGTCCACCTGAATTGAGTTCGGCAGGAGGGTTTCAATGGCACTAGAATCAGCGATTACCTATTACGTTATAAAAACACTGAATTTCTTTACATCATGGCATCACAATTGTGACAAGATATTTGCCAGCATATTTGTGTTTATTTTAGTTGCTCATGACTGTTTAATCAACTCTATACCCTATGCCCTATACTCTATATTCTATACCCTATAAACTCTATCCTATACACTATACACTATAGCCTATATTCTATACTCTATACTCTATGCACTTTATCCTATACTCTATACCCTTTACACTATACCCTAATAATCTATACCCTAATAATCTATACCCTACACTCTATACCCTATACACTATACTCGATACCCTATACTCTATACCCTTTACACTATACCCTATACTCTATAATTCTATACCCTATACTCATTACCCTATACACATTACCCTATACACTATACTCTATACCCTTTACACTATACCCTATACTCTATACCCTATACACTATACTCTGTATCCTTTTCACTATACTCTATACACTATACACTATACTCTATACCCTTTTCACTATACCCTATACCCTTTACACTATGCCATATACTCTATACCCTTTACACTATACACTATGCCCTATACACTATATTCTATACCCTTTTCACTATACCCTATACCCTTTACACTATGCCATATACTCTATACCCTTTACACTATACACTATACCCTATACACTATATTCTATACCCTTTTCACTATACCCTATACCCTTTACACTATACACTATACCCTATACACTATATTCTATACCCTTTTCACTATACCCTATACCCTTTACACTATACACTATACCCTATACACTATATTCTATACCCTTTTCACTATACCCTATACCCTTTACACTATACACTATACCCTATACTCTATATTCTATACCCTTTACACTATACTCTATATCCTCTACACTATACCCTATACCCTTTACACTATACCCTATACACTAAACTCTATACCCTATACCCGTTACACTATACCCTATACTCTATACCCTTTACACTATACCATATACCCTATACACTATACCATATACCCTTTACACTATACCCTATAATCTATACTCTATACCCTTTACACTATACTCTATACCCTATACACTATACTCTATACTCTATACCCTTTACTCTATACCCTATACCCGTTACACTATGCCCTATACTCTATACCCTTTACACTATACCATATACCCTATACACTATACCCTATAATCTATACTCTATACCCTTTACACTATACTCTATACCCTATACACTATACTCTTTACACTATAATCTATACCCTATACTCTATTCTCTATATCCTATAGACTATACTCTATACTCTAGAAACTGTAGACTATACCCTATATACTATACCCTATACTCTATACCCTTTACCCTATACTCTATACCCTATACACTATACTCTATACCCTTCACACTATGCCTTATACCCTTCACTCTATACCCTATACACTATACTCTATTCCCTATACACTTTACCCTTTACACTATAGCCTATACCCTATACACTATACTCTATATTCTATACCCTATACTCTATACCCTTTACACTATACCCTATAAACCTTACCCTTTACACTATATCCTATACCCTATACTCTATATTCTATACCCTATAAACTATGCTCTATACCCTTTACTCTATACCCTATACCCTTTACACTATACCCTATACTCTATACCCTATACCCTTTACACTATACCCTATACTCTATACCCTATACCCTTTACACTATACTCTATACCCTTTACACTATACCCTATACTCTATACCCTTTACACTATACCCTATTCCCTATACACTATACTCTATTCCCTATACTCTATACTCTATACCCTTTACACTATACTCTATTCCCTATACACTATACCCTTTACACTATACCCTATACTCTATACCCTATACACTATAATCTATTCCCTATACACTTTACCCTTTACTCTATACCCTATACTCTATAATCTCTACCCTTTACACTATACACTATTCTCTATACTCTATTCTCTATACCCTATAAACTATACTCTATACCCTGTACCCTATACTCTATACCCTTTACACTATACCCTTTACCCTATATCCTATACTCTATTCCTTATATACTATACCCTTTACACTATACCCTATACTCTATACCCTTTACACTATACTCTATACTCTATTCTCTATACCCTATAAACTATACTCTTTACCCTTTACACTATACCTTATACACTATACGCTATACCCTACTCTATACCCTATACGCTATACCCTATTCTCTATACCCTATACACTATACTCTATACCCTTTACACTTTACCCTATACGCTACACTTTATACTCTCTACACTATACCCTATACTCTATACACTATACTCTACACCCTTTACAGTATATCCTATACACTATACCCTATACTCTATAGCCTATACTCTATACTCTGTAAACTGTAGACTATACCCTATACATTATACTCTATACCCTATACACTATACACTATGCCAATGTATAGAGTATAGAGCAGCTGCATTACTGCCTGGTTTGGGAATTGCACCATACACTATACTCTATTCCCTATACACTATACTCTATACACTATACTCTGTACCCTTTTCACTATACCATTTACACTATACCCTTTACACTATACCATATTCCCTTTACACTATACCCTATACTCTGTATTCTATACCCTTTACACTATACCCTATACCCTTTACACTATACTCTTTACCCTTTACTCTATACCCTCTACACTATACCCTATAAACTGTAGACTATACCCTATGCACTATACTCTATACCCGTTTTAAAGCTACAATGCTCTTCTCCAGGTTATCACCTTGACTGATGGTTAAGAAAATAACAAACGCTCTTTCGGCTGCTCCCATTAGGGGTCGCCACAGCAGATCATTGGTCCGCATATTTGATTTGGCACAGTTTTCACACCGAATGCCCTTCCTGACACAACCCTCCCCAATTTTTGCAGGCTTAGTACCGGAATTGGGAGCACACTGTTGCACACAACAACAGTGGCTGGTTCCCTAGCCAGGAATCGAACCCGTGCTACAGTGGTGAGAGTGAAGTGGCCTAACCACTAGTCCACCAGTGACCCTACTGATGGTTAAGAAAATCCTGAAAATATATGATGCCCTGACCTTATGCATTATGTATTATCATAAAAAGGGGCCTTTGTCTTCAGTCTGACTTATCTTCTACTCTCTGTTTTTCAGTGTACAGTTTGGGATTGGGACTCAAATGGAAAGCATGACTTCATTGGAGAATTCCAGACTACCTTCAAAGAGTTGAAGACAGCTATGGATGGAAAACAGGTTAGCACACATGTATAGCTTTTGACTGGTTTTTTACGTGTTTCTGTAATGTTGCATCTTTTGCTTTAATTCTGTTTCATTCTCTTCCTCTTCCTTTCCTGATCTCTTTGTTGTTCCTTCTATTCTTTTTTATTCCTCCATATCACAGGCACTAATTTTTACTGGCAGAAAGAGTGTGCAATAGAGAGAGGGAGGGGGGAGAAAGAGAAAGAGAGGGAGAGAGAGAGCTCCTGTAGGTGATTTCCTTGTCATATACTGGAAGTGACAAAGCAAATAATTATATCACATAAACCAAATGAATGCATAGACATTTAATAAATTACATACACTGTCACATCCAGCCATTAATATTCCATAGACATGTTGCACCACTTGACTGTTTTTGGATTACGTGATGCCTCTGTCACTGTCAGCCAAAGCAGGGAGCATATTTTGGGGGACATGAGCAGTCCACTTTCAGCCTTGTTAGTTATTTACATTTCATTTATTAATTTTCATGATGCTTTAGAAATGCGTGTCTCATATGTTAATCGGTGAAACTCTATATTGACTGCACATTGATTACTTTTCTTATCTAAGCATCCTAGGTCTATTTATTTTCAGCTGAGCTACTCACTGAGCTCGCTATCCATGTCCGCTAGGAAATGGGAAATGCTCTATCCACACTTCCCTCGAACACTCTGATTGGTATTTTGTATGTAAACAACACAATCTCATAAAGAATTCCTCAGATTTATACTAAATGAGAACAAATCTGGTGCATGTCATGCAGATGAAATAAGAAATTATAAGGTGTGCATATCTTTCCATGCAAGTTGCCTTCTGTGAATTCCTACAATTAAAACATTTCAGTTTTCAATGAATTTTCAGTTCATGCAAATTACAGTGTGAAGTGTGCTGCCTTAGGTATTCCTTGAGCTTAAGTAGTTCTTGCATTGGTTTCAGATTTGTCTGGAAAAATGCTTCTTGTCATGGTAACAAATTACTGTAATTTGCTTTTGATCAAAATTGGTGGTTCTCGTTAATTACATTCAGAACTTCTGCCAATCAAACTGTCATCGAGGCAAGTGAGCAGTACTTAAATATGGCTTTCTCACTTATTTATGATATCCACTATTGGGCTGTTTGTTGCTCAGTAATTTTTTATTAAATTGGCAGTAGAGGCTTATTACCTGGTGATGTTGTGACAATAATTAACTGATGTGTTGGCTGGCCATAGTGCAATTAATTGTTTACCGTAGTTTTGTATTGTTAGTAGTGGCAAGATCTAGAGCAGTCTGCTAGACTTCTGGCCATGTATTTGAATTCATTTTGCTTATTTTGTCCTCTTTTAATCATTATGAACTGTAATTGAATGCAGAATCTTCACTTCCATTTTGCCTTCCCTTAACCAGTGACTTATGACTCAACTGAAGAATAAAGAAAGATATACTTAAAGGAGCACAGAAAGAGAATATGACACATCATGAATATTCCTGATTATCTTTATCATGAGTAAATTTATCAATAGCACTACTGAAGAGCTAACACAAAGTCATCACTGTCAAAGATGTTTAAAGTTTGTTTTAATGGCAAGATGCAGTCAAACTCAAAAACAAAGGATAGAAGCATAATTTAAACCAGTAATAGTAAACAGAGAAAACAATGCTCTGAAATGTGAAATGTAAAAAAATGGCTAAACCTCGCTATGTTTATATGCTGTAGCATTATAATTTACCTTCACTGGAACACCGACTGCACCCCAGGCCTCCTTGCCCAACATCAGCGCCTGACCACTAATGACCTCACTCGTGTAGCTGAATGAACACAAATCCCCACAGCCACCAAAATCTAGTGGAAAGCTTCCCAGAAGAGTGGAGCTTATTATAACAGCAAAGGGCAATAAATCTGGAATAGGATGTTCAACAAACATATAGGAGTGTGATGGTAAGGGGTGTACATACTTTTGGCCATATAGTGTATTTGAGGCTATGAGGCTACAGTGGGCACAAGCTCATCAAAACTGCACAGTGGAAGACTGGAAAACATTGCATTGTCCGGTTAATCCTGATTTCCGTTGCAACATGCAGATGGTAAGGTCAAAATTTGGCATCAACAGCATGAAGCCATGGACCGACCTGCCCTGTGCTCAGCCCTTCAGGCTGGTGGTGGTGGTGTAATGCTGTGGGAAATGTTTTCTTGGAACACACTGGACCCCTTAATACTAATTGAGCATCGTTTGAATGGAACAGCCTATCTGAGTATTGTTGCTGACCATGTCCATGTCTTCAAGGATTCAAAGTGCCAATGCCATTTTTTAAAAACTACTAATTTAGAAAAACTACAAAAAGGGGGAAACACTCCAAAACCAATGACAACAGGTAGACAATCAATACAGGTACTACAAAAGCACAGTACAATACAACAAAGTGCAAAGTACGACACCAACAAAAATTGCACATATGAGGGATTATTGCACATATGCCTGAGTTGTGTATCGCACATAGGGATTAGTGGTTCGTCTGATCATTGTGTTGTTGTTGTTGTTGTTGTTGTTGTTGTTGTTGGGCTGTGTCCTTAATTGAGTTCAGAGTTCAGTGGTGAAATAGCCCTTGGGAAGAAGCTGTATTTGAGCCTGCTGGTGTGGGTGTGAATGGCCCTGTGACTCATGCTGGATGGTAGGAGGATGAACAGAATGTTGCTGAGGTGGATTAATAATCCTGGCTATTGTCTTTAGGCAGCGTAGTCTGTGTGTTCTCTGTGGTCAGTAGCACTGTTCTTATGATGTGTTGTGCTGTTTTGGTGTACAATATCATGATGCAGTATGGAAGAAGGCTATGTGTAGCACACCTGTAGAATCTCAGCAGAAGCTTCCAGGGCAGGTTGGCTCTCCTCTCCAGGAGAGGTCGTCAGTATGGACACCCAGGAATTTAAAACTGGATACTCTTTCCACCATGTGTTCTGGTTTGTGTCAGTTCTCCAAATTTTCTTGTAGTCAATGATGATTTCTTTTGTCTTTTTGGTGTTGAGGGCTAGGTTGTTCTCCTCACACCATCTCAGCAGATTTAACACTTCTTCGCTGTAGGCAGATTCATCATTGTTCGTGATCACTGCGATGACTACTGTGTTGTCCGCAAACTCGATGATGCTGTTGGAGGTGTGAATGGGCACACAGCCATAAGTGAATAGGGCATAGAGCAGGGGGCTCAGCACACATCCTTGTGGAATGCCAGCGCTCAGGGTCAGGGAGGAGAACAAGTCCCTGCCTACTTGATGAAGCAGTTGGTCAGGAAGTCTATTATCCAGTTACAAATAGATGTATTTAGTCCTAAGCAATAGAGTTTGGAGACTAGTTTTAACAACATCTTATTTCAGTTATCAAGACCATTCATCAGGCTGACCAGTGGATGCTGAAAAAACACACAGTTTCACAATGTAATTTATAGACTCAGTTGCTTATTTAATGAGACATGACTGTGTTTCTTCTTATCTATCTGCTTTTTCTCTCCCACAGATTCAGTGGGAATGCATCAATCCCAAGTATCAAGTGAAAAAGAAGAATTACAGAAATTCTGGTGTGGTGATCCTGAATCAGTGTAAGGTGAAGAAGCTGTCTGTTTCTTATGTACTCTGTCACATGGATTGGGTGGATTTGATCAAGAGAGAACAGTATAAAACTGTACAAATCTGAAAAGTTCGGAAATGTTCTTCTCATTTCTTGTCACAGCTCTTCATTTTTTAACAGAACTCTCAACTTTTTCCTTTAGATTATAAAGATGCACTCATTTCTGGATTATATAATGGGCGGATGTCAGATCCAGTTCACAGTAAGTGACTCAGAATGAAGTCTCTCAGATCTGACTTCTGAAGCAGAAATGAACACAGAAATGAAACACTCAAATCAGTAAATAAGATCGAATTTGTCCAATAGCTAAATACAGCCATATTAATGAACAAAGTGAGTTTAAAAAAAAAACTACCTCAATGCTCCTTTTGCATGATACAGCTCTGCTTGATAAGTTCAGATTGATGGTCAAAATATTAGGTAGCTCCTCAAAGATCTCCCCTTGAACGCTGCAAAAATAATATCTTAGCAAGAGAATATACTGTGTCTTGAATAAAGGAAAAATTATTGAATATTTCTCATATTGAGATTAACAAACATAAGACCACAGCCTATTTCTAGACATATTTACTAATTCTATGCTTGAAATTGTCTCATTCCATTGGCAGATCATTTCCTTCTTTCTAGAAATAAATGCCAGAAATAAGCAAAATTAGCTGCCAATAATAAGCACATTTCATGCTGAAAATGAGTAAAAATATCTAGAAAAAGCCTGATTGTGTCAGACGGCAGAGACAGACGCAGTTCCAGGTAAATGATTTATTAAAAATAAAAGAAAACAGGCGAGGGTCAGGCGATGAACAAGCAGACGTGGGTAGACAAAACCAGATTCCAAAAACCAGAGAACAAACAAGATCAAAAACCTGAATATCATGCACGGAAATAACAAGGCCTGCGATGTTAGTAGTGAAACACGGGACGATACTTCACATCTTGAGTCTCTTCATGACAGGGTTTTATAGTGTGTTTGTGTGTGTGCGCATGTGTATATGTGTGATATACACAGTCAATAATCAGATGAGAGGGAGCATGTAGTCCAGCATAGACGTGACATAATGGTCTTATATTTGTTTAAAAACTATATATATATATATATATATATATATATATATATATATATATATATATATATATATATATATATATATATACAGTCAGGTCCAGAAGTATTTGGAC